GGGGGGGCCCGGGGATCCCCGTCCCTCGCTCCCGGGGTGGTTCGGGCCCCGTTGCCTTCGGCCGCGGTGGGGGGGTGTCCCTGAGGAAACGTGTGTCTCTCTGCAGCTGAACCCGGACGTGAACGTGTTCCAGCGTAAGTTCGTTAATGAAGTCAGGAGATGTGAAGAAATGGACCGAAAGCTAAGTACGTTTCTCGCTGGGGTTTGATCCGGCTCTAAGACTGCAGCTTTTACCGAACGAAAAACCAATGCAGGCTAAACCTGTAAGGCAGCGTTAGAAAACACAGGGCTGGCTGCAGGGGAGAAGGCTGCCTTTCTTCTGTGTGCCAGCCACTCAGCCTGCCTCCGGGGATTCTCTTCTGCTTGAAAGCTAGCTTTAACCGAGTAAGAGGGTCTTGGAATAGGAGGTGAGAGAGTTCACGGCTGCCAGACGGGCTAGGTGGCGGTTACGGTGATGGTTTGACATTGAAGTATCTTTTTGGTTACCATTAACAATGCTGTCTCTCCAGGGTTTGTTGAAAAGGAGATTAAAAAGGCAAATATTCCTATCATGGACACTGGTGAAAACCCGGAGGTGCCTTTTCCGCGTGACATGATCGACTTGGAGGTAACGATGTGTGTTAAGACTCAGCTAGTATTTGACTCTAGATGAAACCGGGGGAAATCATCTCACTGGTAGATACCAACTGAGTTCAGAGTCAGGGGCGCATTAGTGATAGTCCCCCCGCTGCCACTTGAAATGCTAGCTCACGTCAGTTTAGCTCACGTCACTTTGATTTTTGATTGATGAGCATTGTTTTGCTTGTGCATTTATCCCAATACAGTTAGAAGTGAAAGTACTTAAAAGGAAATTCACCCATTTAAATGAATCAAAAACTGCTGGAACTGCCTGGTTTACGGTGGGTCTGTGTTAAAGTTTATGAGGGTTTTTAATGATTTGAAGACCACTGTATGAATCCAGTCTATAAAAGACTGGCTGAGCATGAAAGGTTTCAAGTTGCCTGAAAAGAATGTCACAAATCTGGATCTGCGTACCATAGACTGGAGACGCATCTGTAATTGCATGCAAATTGTGCGGGGATGTAAAGCATCTTGCCTACTTTCTTCTTTTAATAGACTTAAGAGCACTTACTTATGGAATTGCTTTAAGTCCTTTTTCTTTCTCCTTTTCACATCTTGCAGGCAAACTTTGAGAAAATTGAAAATGAGCTTAAAGAAATCAACACAAACCAGGAAGCTCTGAAGAGAAACTTCTTGGAGCTGACAGAATTAAAATTTATACTGCGTAAAACTCAGCAATTTTTTGATGAGGTCAGAATACCGGGGGCGGGTTAACACTTGGGGAGCTGGTTCTTCTCCCACAGATTACCATTTTTATTCTCAAATATATTTTTAATTGCTGTTTTGGACAGCAGGGTCATTTTTATGCTTTGTTTAAGAAAGCTTCTCAAATGATTTTCCATTTTTCATGCAGTACGCATAGCTACCCATGATTTACCTCTTACGATGTTGTTTGGGGGTTGTTTTAGTTAAGCAATGGTTTGTTTAAAAATTGTGTAAAATAATTAAGATACCAGTAGTTTTTAAAGCACATCAGCAGACCAGAAATTTGATGCTACAGTGAGCACTGTCTTCAGTGGGTAAGAGTTTCTTTGGTACCTATGCAGATAAATGGTAATTCCTCTCTGTAAGCGAGGCGTGAATGCCAAGCTTGATTTCTCTTCAGCCTTTGACATGTTATATAGAGATTACTCATTAGGGCCATAATACAAAGTCCACTGAAGTAATAGATTATTTATTTATTATTATTTATTTGAGCCTTTGATCAAACCCTAAAGTTTTCAGAGGTAAGTTAGGCCAGAACCTGGCAACTCTTTCACTGGGCCTGAGAAGAGCTTCTCTGATGTCATTTGTGACACAGATGTAAAGCCTGCATGGGAGAAGGCAGTGCTTCGTTGTAAAGCTTAAATATCTTAAAGTCTAGGGAGTTTTCTCAAAGCGCTCCTGTATGTTTGTTAGAACGGTAAGGACTTGCTTTTGCTGAGTACGTGTCCTGTTTCCTCTAATCCAAGGATTTGATCAAAGAGTTCTTCATGAATATGGCTTCTGGTGTTTACAGAGGCTGTGAACAAGTAGAGCTGGGCTCCTGCAAACTTCAGGCCGTTTATCTAACGGTTAATTTTTTTGGTTTTTGGCACAGGATGCTGCCTGTTCAGGCATTGAGGTTGTTCCCGTGCCAACACAAGTCTTAGTCACTGCTGACATAGATACTGCTGCTAGTATGATCGGTTGATTGGTCATGGGGTTGGTTTCGATACAAAAAAACCTCGTCTTCGAGTGTTGAGTGTTCACTAACAAGTGTCTCCTTGGACAAACAGCATTAACCTGATAATCTATTACTTAGCTGCGTTAAGGTGTCACCGCCTGCTCAGTATTGAGTAGAACCAAGTACAGCAAGTGCTGTGTGCTTTTTTATTAATTACTGTCCTCTCTAGTGAGAGCTGCCTACTGCTTTTGTTCAAGTACAGTATGGTCAAACTAAATTTAAAGATCAAAATCAATTTTCTAAACAGTCTGTATCAGGTCACCCACAAAAGGGAACTCATGTCAGACTTAAATGAACTGGCCACAGAAAGTTTAGATCTGTTCCTGCTCCTGTTGATAACTGTTTTCTGTAATAATAAACCAAAATACAACAAATGAAAGGTACTGCTCTATGTAGAAGCAAACTGAACCGCGCATGTGTGAAGTTCAGTAAAATGTAAGCCTTAAAAACGTAAAACTGTTTCAGTTCACACTGTAAGCAGCAAACAGCTGGGTGAGAGGTCCCAGGTAGCCCAGGACTTCTGAGCCTTGTGCAGTCTACTTATTATCCCAAAGTGGTGAACGCTTCTTTTCCTCATGCTGTCATTTGCACAGTACCTTCAACACTTGAAGTTTTCAATAACTTGTAATTAAGATTGTGTTATTCATAGTAATAAGTTGCACAAGAAATGGCTTCCTATCCAAAGCTCTTCACACTGGGCATTTGCTCTGTGCTCCGGAGTGTGTGCACCAGGGGAGGGAGGATGGCAAAATGTTTTCACATGTTCTTCATGTGACCGTTCGAGTCAAAGCAGCCATTTCTTGTTTCAACATACCATGTTGATGATTATGCTCCTTTTCTCAGTCTTCTTGTCTTTGCTTATGAAGAACAGTATGAGCTGGAGAGATTTCTCTCAAAGTTTTGCCTAGAGTGTGAGCGCAAAAGAAGACTGGAAAAGTAATGGTTAATGGCATGCAGTCCCCTGTCTCTCTTTCCTCTAACTCTTCTCACCATCTGCTTTTTTCTGTTTGTTTTGCATCTGCCATTCCTGTCTGGGCTCTGGGTTAATAAGTTTGATGGTGAAATGAATCCCTTTTAGTTCTTGTGAAAATTTATTTTTGTTCTGTTCGTGAACTGGAAGGGGCTTGAATTGTATGGCATTGTGTGTAGCATCCAGAGCCATTCCAGAGCGGAACTGTAATCAAGAGTAGGGAAACTGAACCTTTCTTTCAGGCCTTGAGATTAAAGGTGTTGATCTGGATGTACAGTAAGCAATTTACAAATGTTTAATCATGAAAGGTGCGCGTTCTAATTCCTGATGTGCAAACGCTTGGGTTTTTCCCATCCTGAATGATCTGATGTAGTAAAAAGTACTTCACAATAACTATGATGGTTTACTCGCAGCTGGTGAAAACTCTTATTAAAAGTAAATTTCCTAGAGTCTTGCTTTTCTGCATCGTAGCTGGAAAGCTCTTTCGTTTCCACATAGTCTCTCAGGTTTTTATTTCTGTTAAATCTTATAACACTGCTTTAATTATCCTTCCCGAACCAGAGCTGATGTTGCTGTGCCGTTCCCTTTCTAGAAAGGGTGTGATCATCAAATCAAAGCGCTTGAGAGATGCATTTAAAAACAAGGTTTTGTTATGCAAAATAATCCTAAGAAAGTTCTTGTTTAGTAAAACTGGTCTAATCCAAATTTATTCTAAGCTGCTTTGTTTTGTAATTTCAACCTCTCTAAGCAGGACTTGTCTTTGTTTTATACAGTGTCCTGAATAAAGGACATAGCCCCCAGGGGGTCAGGGATAATATTAAGCATTTATAAGAATTACGCTCTCAAGTGAAGCAGATCTCAAGTTTTCACATGTGCTGTCCTTTTTTTATGTTTCTTATGCTAAAATGTGGTGCACCTCACAAAAATTATCCCAGAAAATATTTTGATGACTGATAAATACAATACAAGCCTCTTAAAATTGTAACTTTATCTTACTGTTTTTCAACGTCCTGAAATCTAGATACCAAATAATCACTGGTATGTTTGGTCTGTATGTTTTGTTTTGGGGTACCAAACTTCCTCCTTTTGGTTGTGTTCTCTATGAAGCAAAATTTTCATTCTGTTTTTGATGTTGCAACAAGTTGCCTTAAAGTTGAAAGGATCAGAAATTCTTCGTGTTGGCTTTCCAAATTAATTTAAGGACTCCCTTACTTTTGTAACATCTCTAAGCTAAAGCAAGTGTGTGTCCAAGCAATTGATTTGCATTTGATGTCAGCCTTGCAAAAACTTTTATTCTATATTGTAAATGCTTTTATTTGAAGTGCAAGTAAAATGTTGTAGAGTTTTTCGCTAAAATTATGATGCAACTATTGCACAAAGAAACTATGGCTGAGTCATTAAATTTGCTATAGACTTTTGCAAGGCTGCGCTGTATGTGTGCATGCGTTTTAAGTGTTCTAGGGTCAAACTCTACCTTCCAGTGTATTTTAGCAAGTTCCCTTGATAGCTCTATGGGGAAGACCGCCTGTGTACCACAGAGGGTAGAATTTGGCCCTCTGTTTGTGCTAAGGAACTGTAATTTTCGTCATTTCATTATATAAGCTGCAGAGGTAGAAATAACTGTGACACGGGGTTGTACGAAGTATGAAGATGATGGCACAAGAGGATGTGACTTGAGCATCCTTCCTGACTTGAATTGCTGACACTTACAAGCTATATTCCCAAGAATTTTAGCCTGCAGATTAGCTGCAGTGAAGGACAGTATAAATCAGTGTCCTATTTTAATGCCTGGCTAGTCAAAAAGTGAGCAAGATCATCATACTGCCTTAAGCGATGCATCTTATGCGTGTGGTGATAATACATATAGTGAATAAGGATAAATACCTTGAAGAATGAATAGATTTAATCCGTAAGCATGTTTTTAAGCTGGATGGATTGTATGTTTTTCCTGGAGGGAGAACTTTGTAAAGCCAGTAAAGAAAATTAACATCCAGTACTTCCAGGTTTTGTTACCAGCTCTGACCCTGAGTCTATGCTGACGTGGCAAGTATCATGGAATCAGTCAAACTATCGTCACCTAATGCCAAAATGCATGAGGCATTGCCTTTGCTTTGGAGTACGGCAGAAAGCTGTCACGTATAGGATACGCAGGGCTTGCAAAACTGGTTGTAGGGTACAGCCATGTGAAGTTGCAGGCTGCCCTAAGGTCAGTTAAACTGTCTCTGGGAGACTGACCAGAGCATTGCTCTTCCCATTTCTGTAGAACAAGACTCCCAGGCTACTTCACTTGCACGTACAGTTTCCCAGGCACCTCTTAGTAAATGCCTTTTGCATCTTCATTAATATGCAGGAATTGCATGAGCGCAAGAGGGAGTCAGCATCTACCTTCACGTTTTTCTCCATTTAAGATCTGGGGAAAGATGAGAGTACGGTGTGTCGTTCTGTTTTGCGCCATTAAAAGATGGTTCTTGGGAACATGACTTGTATTTAAAATGATAAATTTTTTTGAATTCTGCCTTTCTTCAGACTTATATATACCACAGCCCCTTTGTTCTGTTGCAGCAATCTTCAGACTTTTCTTGTAGGGAAGCTTTGCTGAGCCATTCCACTTTTCCTCTTGTTTTCCTTCCTTGTGTGATTCTTGCTGTCTTTTCTATCATCTAGCTCCTCCTCCTGCTGTCTTATGTTCATTCTTTCTTTTTCTTTTCTTTTTTCTTTTTTTTTTTCTTTTTTTTGTCTCCCCAAACTATCTCCTGGTTCCTCGTTCCCTGCATGCCACTAACTAGTTTCATTAGATATTAATTGATTTGTGAATTCAGGCTGAATTGCATCATCAGCAGATGGCGGATCCAGACCTGTTGGAGGAATCCTCTTCGCTCCTGGAACCAAGTGAGATGGGAAGAGGTGCCCCGCTCCGACTTGGGTAATGGCAATTTGTGCTTTCTCTGTCCTGTGTTAGGGTTTGCTGGCTTACGTTCATCCTACGGCATCTACAACGATTTGTGGAACTTAGCAGACAGACAGATGAAGGCTGATCTAAAACTAGCCATTGTCTCTGGTTTTGTCCTGGGTACATTAACTTCCCAAGTCCTATCTGTGCTTTGCACAAAAAAAATTTACTAGTTTGTTCTTTGTAAATCTTGTCTGGTTGCTTTTTCAGACATTCTGGGCTTTGTTGAAACTCGTAACTGTTGTGGGTACATAATACTCAAAAAAATCCGTATAGTTCTATATCCTCTTCATTAGCTGCTTCCAGGCCATCTTTGTATGTGTGTAATTCTTCAGCTGGGTGTAGGGGTTTGAATCAGTCTTCTGAACGTAGCCCATGGTAGCTGTGACTGCTATAATCCTTCCCGTGTGAGGTACCAGGAACCTATTGAAGTGAAGACTAGCAGACATAGAAACTGTATGCCTAAATGCATTTGTTTCTCCTTTAACCAGTGAATTTTTTTTTTTTTAATAGACGATTGATTTCATTCTGTTAAAAGGCATAGATGCTGCTGTAGTGCAGTTGGTTTTGTTGTGTTTTTATCTCTATATATTTAGAGGACCTTCCACTTTGCTTAAAGAACTAATTTCAAAATAAGATTTTTGTGGCTTTCAATCTGATGCTAAACTCCAGTTGCCATCAGTGGTTTGGGTGTTAGGCTATGTGTTCTTTTAGGCGTAGAACTTACGTTTATGCTGTCACCTTCACAGGTTTGTGGCTGGTGTGATCAACCGTGAGCGAATCCCCATGTTTGAGCGCATGCTGTGGCGAGTGTGCCGAGGGAACGTATTCCTGCGTCAAGCAGAAATTGAAAACCCTCTGGAGGATCCTGTAACGGTAAAAGGAACTCTTCTTTATGGCAGCAAAAGTCTCAAATGTGTGAAAGGTTTTTCCTTATAGATCTAAGCCTTTATTCCTCAATGAGCTCTGTGCAGTCAAACGTTTGTGTTGTGTCCCCTCACAGTACCTACTTGCGGCCTTTGAGGCTTTAGTGACAAATGCTTTCCTGTTTTAGTAAAACAAAAATAGCAGGATGCATGGTGAATGCTGTTAAAAGGAGGAAAACTCAGAATTTGGGCTGCAGCAGGGCATAGCTGCTTCTCTGGCACAAACTACAAGCGTGACTCCTGTATGCAGTTCTGAATAAGTAGTAATCCTCTTTGAAAGAGGCTCTTTTGGACACTCACAGTGTAACATCTGTAGCTCATTCACTCTGAACGTGGACTTTTCATTTTTCTTAATTTGCTAACAGAGAGATGAGTTGAAACTCAGTCACTGCCCCTTTGTTTCTCATGTAAGGCTGACTTGTCCCACCAGCTGCTGGTAGCTGACCTGTTGAATTATCTGTCTGCTAGGAGAGACTTTGTTCTTATTGTGCAACGCTTCCTTAAATTGAGGTTACACCTAATGTAATCATTCTTGAAACGTTACGTTAAAATTTCCTAAGTAAGGTAGAACAATAACTTGTCAACAAATGCAGGAAAGGGGACCCGGGTACTGACACAAAAACAGCTGTACAAAGAATGTGCCATTGGCCTCCCTGGAGACTCAAAGTTGTTAAACTCCGTTTCATCTTATTTTCATTCATTCTTTAGCTTTTTGCTTGATTCTGTAGGTGAACTGGCTGCAATAAGTGCTGATAAGTATTTCATTGCATCTCTCTTCTTTTGGAGGTCTTCCCAGGTTTTCCTGTTTATTGCATTGCCTAGAATAGGTAATAGATAATCTAGAACATTTTGCTTCAGTAAACCCAAGTACAGTAGAGGTATTGTATACTGAGGCAGAGAACATTGCTTTCCTTGTGGCTGTTTCAGTGTTGTTAAGGTACATTCTTGACTCACTGTGCAGATATGAGTGCTATATGTACAGATTCAGAGGAAGGAAAACTAAGCCTCTGTTGTAAATTGCTCATTTCTGTAAATAGCTGAGCTATTACAGTGCATTCTTTCTTCTGTTCTAGGGGGATTATGTGCACAAGTCTGTGTTTATCATCTTTTTCCAAGGTGACCAGCTGAAGAACAGAGTCAAGAAGATATGTGAAGGGTATGAAAGTCTTACAGCTGGGCAGCTCTCAAATATGTGAAACACATTGACATGAGTTAATATCGATATATTTTTAAACTCCTTATTTCACAGTGACTGTAGGAGCACATATTTTGACAGCAAATAAAACATATCATAAGTAGCTGAGACATATTTTACAGTCAAACTAGCCACTCCCCAAGCCTATAATGCTCAAAGTGGATGACTACTTTGCTAAAGAATGCCTGAAAACAAGGGAGTTCAAGTGTTGAACTCTTGGACAGGCTTAGTGGGATGTCAGTGGGCGATATTCTCACAGGGGAGACCAAGCGTGCCTGCTGCTAGCAGCAGCTGCATTGGCATGATAGCAGCACCCTGAACTGGGATGGCTAATCAACTTCAGCACCTTTGAGACCCTGTCAGTACAGGGAACGGAGGGTTTTCTCCCATTTCCATTTTCTTAAGCATTCAGCTTCTGTTTTGGCCTAAAGCAAGCTTCTGTACCCATTTGATTTAAAGACTGAAACTGCTTGGCCGTCTTTGCTGATCAGAAACTTCTCTTAAGGCGCTTCTTGCTTTATTTCTGTGTTCGGCCATCTATTTCCCTGACTGGTTTATCTTCTTTCCATCTTTGTTACTAAGGTGGCTTGCATGTCTTTCAGATTCCGTGCCTCCCTCTACCCATGCCCAGAAACACCGCAGGAGCGGAAGGAAATGGCTTCTGGTGTCAATACCAGAATTGATGATCTTCAGATGGTAAAATAACCAGGGTCAATGCCCTTTTTTCTTTTTTCTTTAGTAATAGAGTTGAAAACATCTTTGGATCCTGTCAAAACAGGAGAATTTTTGGCCCTATTAGATGGCTATATTTTCAGCTCCAGGTAGCCTGAGACCAGCAGCTCAGCATTGCAAGAAAGATGTTTGGAGACTGCTCCGTTGTTTTATTTGTCAGGGTTTAGGGTGTTGGGGTGGTTTGATCTTTCTGGAGGGCTAAGCAGTTAATTATGTATGTGTAAGTACAGCATCGATAGAGAACTGCATGCCAGAGAGCAAAGAGGAATATGCATGTGTAAGGAGATACTGTGTTTTCCAGCTCTGAAAGCATGCTTGTATAATTGCCTGCTTCATCTGCAAGAACTTTGAAAACATTTAAACTTATTTCCAAGTTGAGATAACAATGCTAACTTTAACTTAGCTATTCTTTTTTCTGCCTGTCTTCATATTTTCATGTTGTGCTGCCCTGAAGAGCTTCTGCTTTACAACTAATCTCTTGTGCAGCAGCCTGAGTGTTGGTAAAAAATAATCAGCACACAAATCTACTGGTGCCAGCTCTGAAATATTTGATGCTTGCTTCAAGGAAAGAAAGGCAGTATGTTATAATGCAGAAAAATCTAAGGGATTTGAGACAAAAAATAGGAAAGGTTCAGAAACTAAAAGGAAAATCGGTTGAATCTGAACTGCTTATTTGATACAGAAACTGTTTCAAGCTGGGAGTTGTGTAGTGCAGCTGTTTAGCAATTTTAAAGTAGACAAGAACTCAGAAGTAATTTATCTAGTAGGATTCAAAGCTGCATGTGCCCTGTGCCCTCACTTTCCCTTGAGTCTAAGACTTTCCAGTCTGGAAATCTGACTTGGCATGAATTAAATATGTTCCAGTTGGAAAACACCCTCAGTAGAAAACACTTTCTCCTTTTTCCCTTCAGTAAAAAAGTCTTTTGTTGTAATCTTTGTGTGTTTTCTCAAGGCAACGTACACCTCACTTGTAGAACTCTTCTCTGTTCTTCTAACTTGGGTGGAGGAAAAAGTGTTCTCTGTAATCTCTGAACAGTTCATTGTTTGAAATATCCACTGACCTTGGAGTTGGAGGAGGAAAGTAGTCAAAAAGAATCTCTGGAAAGAAACCTTAAAACCTTTTAGCAGAACTAATTAATACAGAGACTAAAGCATATATTGCAGGGATGTGGCAGTCTTGGGCATGGGATGGGGGAGAGGGCTCATCCATCCATCCTCAGGGGGGTAAGGCTGTCTTGTTGGTCAGCCTGATTTCTCTGTGCACTTCTGTATGCTTCGAGTTTTGGTCAGTGATTTTTGCCTCATCTTTATCCTACTTCTCCATGAAAGGTGCTGAACCAAACAGAGGATCATCGCCAAAGGGTTTTGCAGGCAGCCGCTAAAAATATCCGTGTCTGGTTCATCAAAGTACGCAAGATGAAGGCCATCTACCATACCCTGAATCTGTGCAATATTGATGTGACACAGAAGTGCTTGATTGCTGAAGTCTGGTGTCCTGTTGCTGACCTTGATTCTATCCAGTTTGCTCTCAGGAGAGGGACTGTGAGTAACCGCTCTACTGCTCCTGTCTGCTCCTGTTCAAGCAGACTAGCAACTGTCGGCAAACGCAGCATGGATTAATTGATTTTTCCGAACTGCGAGTCTCATTCAAACAGCCCAAAGGGATGGTTTTCAGAGTCCTCACAGAGGACAGTTTATTTACCATGCAGGAATTGTGGCTTATAGATAAACTTCGTAACGAATACATTGTGTAAAGCTTTTAAGTCCTGTGTTTGAGTCCTTTGGTACGTTTAGTTAACCTGGCAGTGCTTTGTAGTCCTGCTGTTTGGATATACAGTGGAACTTAGTCAAAGGACCCATCCAACACATTTGCAAGCTTGCCCTCTGATCAGAATAGTTGGGTGTCTGGAAGTCCTTTCACTTGCTGTTTTAAAAAGCAAACAAACTCTTGCATGAGTTTTCTTGTCTGTTGTAATCAGGCACTGTTCATCCTTACTACAAGTGCTTCTCCTCCTGCTATACAAAGTGGAGAGCAGTGGAAACTTGGCAGCCTTCCTCAGCTGCTCAACTATATTTCTCATCGTGCAAGCACACTACAGAAATGCAAGCTTGTAGTTTTCCAAATGCTAATGAGAAAGTAGTGTTGTACTCTGTACTCCTGTGCTCTGAGGGTGGCTGATCTAATCTTTTTTTTTTTTTTTTTTTAAACAGGAGCACAGCGGATCCACTGTCCCATCTATTTTAAACAGGATGCAAACCAACCAGACCCCACCAACATACAACAAAACTAACAAGTTTACTTCTGGCTTTCAAAACATTGTTGATGCTTACGGCATTGGAACATATCGGGAGATAAATCCAGGTAAATTCATACTTATAAAAGTCCAAGACATCTATCTCAATTTTTTAGTCATGGTGTTTCTCTGTATTGTCTGTCCTGTGTGAAAATCTCTAATAGAATACTTAACACCTTTCAGAAGCAGAGGAGAAGCTTGGGAATTATATTGCTGAATTGCATAAATTGTGCTGTGGTAAATCTGGGCCTACTCAAACACAGTGCACTAGGGGTATCATCTTTTCTCTTACAGCACCATATACGATCATTACCTTCCCATTTCTGTTTGCTGTGATGTTTGGAGATTTTGGCCACGGAATCCTGATGACTCTGATTGCTGTCTGGATGGTGCTTAGGGAAAGTCGTATTCTGTCACAGAAGAGTGACAATGAGGTAAAGTGGCAGGTTATGCTGAGCTTTGCATTTAAAACAAAGAGTTGCAGCTTCGTTTACTCACATCCTTCCCCCCTTGAGTTGAAAATGCCCATTTCTCTTCATGTTTGAAATTTGTAAAGTGCAAGACAGAGAGAGAAGCTTGTAGACCACCACTGTCATTTCATAACAGCAGTGAGTTCCTTTGGTTTTCCTTTCAGATGTTCATAGGAAATTATTCCTTTCAGTTGTTTGAAGGAAATTGTTTATCAAGTGTAGATAAGCTGTTGTAAACAAGTCACCCAGAACATGGGTGGATCATAAAGGGGTTCAGTTACTGCAAAACTAATTTCTGTATGCGTATATCATATCTCCAAGATTTTTCCTATTTGCTGATCTAAGTGGATTTCACTTGCTCAGGGCGTAGGTCGACAGGAGGTGAACCAGAGTTAAGATACATTGACAGAGCGTGGAGAAAGCTGGACAGGGTCTGCACTGCCTAGTTCCAAACTAGTGCTGCCAGCTGGGGCTTTGCATCACCGTGTGGAGTGCAATTCATCCTCCTCAGCGAATCCCAGATTCTCTGTGGACAGTCACGCTGCCTGTTTATCCTCTGTGTTCAAATTCTGTTCTGCAGTGCCCTTAATCCCTGCTGTGGGGAAATAGAGACTTTGGGCTTTTTAGTCCATATGGCCAATACTGTTTGTCCTGCAGCTGACTGATTTTACTGTTTCATCTTTGAGAGACCTTCCCTGTTCTCATCGACTTTATTTGTTCCTTTTTGTTTTTTGTTTTTTTTGTACTAGATGTTCAACATGGTTTTTAGTGGTCGCTACATCATTCTGCTGATGGGACTGTTCTCCACTTACACAGGCCTCATCTACAATGACTGCTTCTCCAAGTCTCTTAATATGTTCGGTTCATCATGGAGTGTCCGGCCCATGTTTTCAAAAGGCAATTGGTCGTGAGTAAACAGTTAGTAACTAGATAAAGAGTGACAGTGATAAGCAGGTGACTTATCTTTCCCCATTGTCCTCCCAGCTCCGGAAGACAAAAACTTCTGAACTCAGGCTCAAGTAGAATTGGAAGAGAGGTGTAAATGTGATATCTATCGAGTTTCAAACCAGCTTTTTTTTTTCCTCCAGAAAACTTGTAAGGATGCAGTTTAGCACCTTTCTCCTCATAGACATAGCAGGATTACTGTCCTCTGCATCTTTCTCCCTTGTGACATTGACTGACAGGTCAAGAGACAGGTTTAGATTTCATTTGGAAAATATCTAGGACCACACAGGAACCTTAAAGTTATCTCAATTTGAGATATTCCTTGCTCTCACAAGGGAAGAATGTTGGTAGCTCTTACAGAAAGAGGACAGTGTTGCTTGTGTTAATGTTTGTGTAACCTACTTATACCCAAACAGAGATGCCTTGCTTGAGACAACTCCTCTGCTTCAGCTGAACCCTGCTATTCCAGGGGTGTTCGGTGGACCCTACCCCTTTGGCATTGACCCCGTAAGAGCTTTTCCTTCCTCTACTGCCCTTTAAGAACGTCCTCTGTGTCAACAGAAAGAAAAGTGCCTGTCCAGTTCATTGTGAAAGATTTCCACACCCGAGCCATTCCCTTAGCAAACTGTTTATCGATGTTGGAAATGCTCCCGAACAATAAAATTAATTTTGTTCCTATTGAGATGCTGGATTTGGGACAGAGATACTTGGTTTCAGGTCCATTAAAGGTTTCTTCCTCATCCTTTCTAAGCTGCAGCTTTTTAATCAAATTTTGTTAGACTTGCAAATCACTTTACGAAGTTCCTTTTTTTACCTTGAGTAAAGTTATTTATCTCTTTTTTTTTTTTTCCAGTCAGTCTCAGAAACCTAAGTTTCGAGTAATCTGTCACTTTATATCTGCCCTCATCAATAACGCTGCTCCTAACGCTGCTTAAGATATTTTAAACAAAACTTACGTGTGTTCCACATTAAAGAGGAAGTGCAGAAAATCAGAATGATGTGTAGTTGTTCATTTAAATGGAAAATCATATTTTTTTCTGTCGAGGATACAGCCCCCTTTTTCCTGCAAATTTTGCCTACCATAAAAACAAGCAAGGTCTGATTCCTGCTCAGATGGTGGGATCAGTTGCTGTAAGACAGTGTTCCAAGCAGAAAAAGGTTGTCTGCTCATTTCCCCAAAAGATATCTGTGTGACAAACACTTCTTTAAAAAAACCCTACTTACAGCCTAACGCTTCCTGGATGGTTAATACTGTTTAGCTTAAAGTGAACATTTTCATTTTCCTCTGTTTTTCTTTTACTCGGTGTTTGGCTGCTGACTCAGTGTTGTTTTTCACAGATTTGGAATATTGCCAGCAATAAGCTGGCCTTCCTCAATTCGTTTAAGATGAAAATGTCTGTGATTCTTGGCATTATCCACATGCTCTTCGGTGTCACGTTGAGTCTTCTCAACCACATGTAAGCACTTTGTTCTGTTTTTCTCATGGGGCGGAACCTCTCTGGGTGTAATGCGTGTATTAGTTTAAGATCAGGAGCCTCTCAAGACTTTAACTTCTGATTGAAGGGTGTAGTACAGTTGTTTCTGCCTGCATATGTAGAACTCTGCATGTGAAGTAGTATTTAAGTCCCAGCTATTGTTGAAATGCTGAGCCCCTGCAGTTTTGTTCCAAAGAACTCTTTCTTTTTTTTTCTTTTTTTTTTCTTTTTTTCCCTGTAGCTATTTTAAGAAGCCACTGAACATATACCTTGGATTTATTCCAGAAATGATTTTCATGTCATCACTGTTTGGATACCTTGTTATTCTCATTTTCTACAAATGGACAGCCTACGATGCTCACACGTCAAAGGATGCACCAAGCCTTTTAATACACTTTATCAACATGTTTCTCTTCTCCTATGGTGATACAAGTAATAAGATGCTTTATAAAGGGCAGGTGCGTGCTCTTGCTAGAATAAGATCAGAGATCCTTCATGATATTAGTCTTTCATTGACCTTATAATAATTGTGAAATCAAGTGTGAAACTATTTTTCTCTGTGATAGAGGAAATGTGACGTCATTTCCAAAGCCTGACGTTATGTATTGTTGACGAAGAAAGGAATAATCCCTGTACCGGGGATTTGTATCAGTCTGAACATCAGTCACTTGTGGCTCCAGAACATTTGGATCCAGACCAATAGTGGAAGGTGATTAGGAATATTGTCCTGCCTCTGCAGTGCGGTGCCTCTAAGACACTTACGGCATTTCATCCCTGTGCTATCAGTCCTCTGCCAAACTGTCATTCCCTGCAGAACCTTTTGGATTTTTCCTTTAATCTAAATCAGTATCAGCATTACGTGCTGTGTACCGTCAGATGGGGCAGCTGCAAGCAGGTGTTAGGTACAGCACATCTTGCTGTTCCAGGAAGAGAGAGAGAGTGAAGCGTCCACGTACTCTGGGAATTCAGTCGTTCAGTGCTCCATAAGAGCTCTCCCTTGGTTTTGTGTGTGTGTTTGAGCACGGGCTGCCACTAAATCATCTGAGACTTGTTTCTTTTACAGCAAGGGCTCCAGTGTTTCCTCGTGGTGGTGGCATTACTGTGTGTGCCGTGGATGCTGGTAGCTAAACCCCTGGTCCTTCGCCATCAGTATTTGAGGAGAAAGCACTTGGTGGGTGACTATCTTTTATATTTCAATATGAAAACTAATTCTGGTTGAAAAGCTGTTTTCTCCGTCTTGGTCTTGGATGCGTAGGTTCACACTGCACTGTGACCTGTAAAACGTTTTTGCATGTTTCTAGGTATGAAGGCAGGTGGGTTTTACTGGAGACAAAGTATTGCCTGCCTGCTTCTCAGATCTGGATCCAGCATCAAATCTGCTTTTAAAAACCCCGTATATTGGTCATGATAAAAACAATGTATCTGGCTTGAGCTTTGTCAGCTGGTTTAGGAACACTGTCTTACTAGTTGCTGGATGCACTTCTGTGCCTTCGCTAGGCTGACAATGTAAAAGCAGAGATGTAAGCTTAATTGGCTGGCAGACTTATCAGCCATCTTTGTTAAAGCAGTTTGGATGGAAAAAAATAACAATTAAAAGGAAAAAAAATAGACTTATGCAGTCATTTTGTGAGAGGTTGTCTTCTGGGGTACTCTCTAGGTTTCCAACTGTATCGTAAAGTATCTTTATATAACGTGCAGGAACCTGGCACACGTGCACTGAGGATACTTGAAAATTCTCCCTGCATGTATGGCAGACAGCTTTTAGGATGTTAAGTGAGTCAAAGATCAGTTCAGTTAAAGACACTCCCTCTCCCTTCTCTGACCATCTTTCATCCTCCCATGTCCCCTCCATTCGTCTCCCTTTCTCTTTTTGTTTTCTTCCTCCTCCCTTTCTTTTCTTCCATTCACTATCAGGAAGGGCAACCCGTGGAGGCCCAAGTCAGCACAGTCCCGAACGAGCAGGCACTAGAGGCAGCAGCGGCTGCAACAGTGAGTGGATTTAAAAATCACCTGATGGATTTAAAGATGGGAGTTGGCTTTCTATCTAATGATCAAGAGAGCATGGAATGTATCTGAATTTCATAAGTGAATGACAACTGCACCTTTAGGGTGAAAAACACTTTCTCTTGGAAAGAGCAAAGTTCAGCAAAACTGATACATTCTGGAAGAACTACCAGGCTGAAGGATAATAGTTATGTGTGCACAGAATGCAGAGACACTTCTTTGCAGGAGTGCTGCTGAGATCAAAACCTGCAGAGCAGCACAAGAATACCTTGCTACCTCATCCCCCCAGGTTAAGTTCCCCTTTTTTCCTTTTCTTGCGTATTTGTTTAAGATAGATTAGGATTCTTCTCAGTGAAGCGTTTCTGTTTGCATTATGTGTTCCCAAACATCATGTTTGTGTGATGGCCTCCCAACAACTTCATCTCAGTAGCTGCTGGATTTTTGACACCCATGCCCTTGTAGACACTTTGGCTTGAAACTATTATAAGATAGTTGTGCACAAATAAGCCTCTCGGTAGCAGTTGTTTCTACTTATTTGTGTCCAAACCTATAGACGGCACTTTACTGCCAAAGCTTTCTGGCAGAGCGAAGCTTGCAACAGCTCCCAGAACTTGGTCCCTTCCCCAGTACCGCATATTTCACCTTGTTTTCAGTTGTGAATGCTGCCTGTCTAACTAGGCAGCGTAAATCTCACAAACTACGTGAAGCACACTGTGCACTCTGCACGTCAAAGGTACTTTGAGGCACTTTTTAGCTGTCGGCCAGTGTTTCTATCATGACTTTTTAAATAGCCTCACAGAAATGTCAGAAATTTAAATGGATCTTTTGTGCGTAATCCATCCAGCGTATTAAGTTCATCTCAATACAAGAAGCTGTGAGGGAAGGTCTTTGTATGAGGTGCGGTTAGAAGTATAATGTAAACAATTACATTATACTGTTGGAGCCATGTTTAGATTGGACACTTTACAGAGAACAGATACAAGTTGAGTGTGAGGGAAAAGCTGCAAAAGTGCAAGTTCACACAGGCTAGAAATATATAAATAGAATACTGGTACATCAGTAACTTGTAGTGTTTCAAAGGTGCTGAAAATCCTAATAAAAGCATTGTCTTACTTGCAAATTTATTTTTTCATTTTATTTCTATTTTCAGAGCATAAACATCTACGTAATTTGTTTTTAAAAACCAGACAAAATCTGGCATTTTGGGCAAATTTATAGTTCAGCCTAAAATAAAAGTAGGCTTCTAAGAGCAAATCAATTGAAAAAACATCGAGCAGCCGTTCCACTGATATGCCAGAGAGATGAGCAGACAGGTCACGGGATCTTAAGCCTCCTTGGTGTGCCCAGTCATCCCGAAACTTCCAAAGTCTTAGTGTGTCGAGTTAGTCCGTTCACGCTCCGTGTCACAGATGACCCCAGTGCCATGCTAAAGCTGAACGCAGAGCTTTTCTTCCCATTTGCGGCGTTTCAGTTTGCCTCTCTAGGTGGGTCGGACTTGCAGGTCTTAATTTATAGTCTCTTAGATCAGTCATGAGCGTTTTCTGTCTTCGGAGCATCTGGAGGGAGATAGAAATCCTGCCGTGCAGGGCACAGTGCCGCTTGCTGAGCGGAAATCCAAAGGCAGTGATGTCCACATTAGGCCTTCGTTCTTGAGGCATATAAGCTCTGCGTGAGGGCGCTGTCGGATGATCAACAGGTTTGTGCATCCTTTCTTGGTGGTAAGACGGTACAGAGGAGGAAGCCTGCCATAAATCAGATGTTAACTGTGCAATGATTACAGTTGTCAAGTCAGAAGAGCTCCTGGCTCTTTCAAAGCTTCAACTCAATTTGTAGGTTATTTTCTGTTTGGAGTGAAAGGAGTTACAGCGGAGGGTCAGATGTTGAATGTCAGAACAAATGTCTAAAAAAGGAACTGCTTGCACCACGTAGCATTTCCAAGTAAGGGAAAGTCTGATTTCCCACATGTGGTGTCAGTATGCCTGACACTGGTGGGGAGCAAGTGTGTGCGTGTATATTTGTGTCAGTCCTTTCTGCTGCGAGTGGCCACTTGTGACTTGTTTCATTCACAACAGCAGTGGTGTTTCAGTGCTTGTCCAACAGCTGCTGGGCAAAACGTTGGGTCTCTTGCACGCCAGTGCCAGCAAACGTCCTCTTGAGAGATGTGCCTTTTATTTTACTTAGGGCTGCAGTTACTTTGTAGAAATGCATCAAGTATTCATTCAGCCAGACTTTTTTTCCCCAGCCCTAGCAGGAATCAGCATCTTTCCCATCCAAGCTGGGAAATAGAATTGTACAGCTGGCTTAACCTGGGCCTTAATATTTTGTTTTCTTCTGTGAGCTGCTGCTGCACACGGAGTCATAAGAAACATGCACTCTTGCAGCAAAACACAAACAACACTTTGCTCTTTCTTTTTCTGCATGTGTTAGGGAACGCACAACTTTGGTGGGATCCGGGTGGGCAATGGACCAACTGAGGAGGATGCTGAGATCATTCAACATGACCAGTTGTCCACCCACTCCGAGGAGGGGGAAGAGGTAAGCACCTGACCATCCTCCCTCTCAGGGCAATGCGCGCGGTAGCAGAATATGCTAGCTTTTTGACTGTATTTAACTGATTTCCAAGCTGTTTAAAACCACATAGCAACATTTTCAGTGAAGTGTTTTCGTAGCAGTTTTCATACAGACTATCTCTTGGTCATCCCAGGGCTCCAGAAAAAGCAGTTTAGTTTGCATATAAAGGGAAATGTGGCTCTGTTTGTCCCCCTCACGAGGAACTGTCATCCTAGGGGCTGCACAATGAGAGTTGCACAGTGCTCCCGGGTGGCAGACACAGTTCATGCTCTGGCTGAAGTGCAGTGCAGTTGTGCTGCGTGTGTCGCCAGTGTCAGCGAAAATCCAGGGGCCATACTTCTGCAGCAGTGAAATCTTGTTTACGTATGCATTTTGGCTCTTGGGGGCAATATCAATTGCTTTGGCTTACCTCAGGTAGAGAAGAGAAAGGAGTTGATCTCACGTAGTTTGGGAGTATTCTGATGCCTCTTAACAGTTCTCCAGCGATATTTTGCCTCTGTAGTGCATGTGATGTGTTCCTGCTTTACTGTCGTGTTTAGGAGGGAATTATTGAATGTGTTCATGATTAATGTTGTGATCGAGACACCGCACTAAATGTAAACTTATGTTTTCAAGCCTACAGAGGATGAGGTGGTAAGACTACAGCCAGCTTTGCGTTCATGTGTATCTGGACCATTTCCCATTGGTGTAAAACACATGCTGAATTAAACATGTTATGTCACAACATCTTGTTTTCCAAAAGATCTAGCTATTTACATGTTACGGGCCATTTTTAATTATCCATACATACATGCCCTTTAATTACTTCATCTATACGGCTTGTTTGTCTTATCCCCTGTCTGCAGATCTTGCTTAGTTTACCTGGAAAACCGTTAAGCTAGAAGTCTGAAACTGAAAAGTTTTTGCTATTAAACTTCTGAAGAAGAAGTCTCGTTTGCCTTATGTTGTGTCTTTGGTAATTCTGCACTGCAACAAACTGTTTAAAGATACTTTTTTCCCAAATTATCTGCAATTTTAAGGATGATACTGGTTGTGCCAGTCAGCAAATACAGCAAAACCAGTCCCGTTTCATACAGTTTAACAACTTAACTAACCAGTATCTTTCTGTAAAAGAGAAGCTCTGTTCTGAGAAACTGCTCATTCATTAACGCTTGTAACAAGTGTGAGTATTAAAGAAATTGGTTTTTTAGGAATACTTATACAGGATTGATTGTAGGTTTCAGCACTATGGGGTAACTGATTTTATTACGAAAAAATAACAATTCTGTGAAATTAGAGTAGCTTCACAACGATGATGCTGTTGTAAATTGATCTGCAAGTGGCCTTGCTGAGGGATCTGTTCTCCATAGGTCCATCTAGAATTGAGGGGGGCGGAAACGGTGTGCCGGTGTACCTCTTAATTCTATATATCACTAAACCTGTAGAAAATGTATAAAACTACAAATATTGTGCCATAGCAATCCTGCTGATTCTCCCGCTCCCTAGCATAGTGGCAACTCTCTCCAGCAGTTGCACATGGCTGTAAAATGTCATTGTTTAAATATTTGTCACATTCCATTTGCTGCACGCTGAGTTGCCGTGTGTGCTGGGAGGTGGTGCTGTTTGCTGGGGCAGGTTTTAATAAAAGAGCTCTGCAGTTCAGGTTCCGTGGCGAAAGCATTAGGCTTTTGAGAGCTAATTTAACTTAATTGTTTGAAATATTTATTGCCCTGGATATACAAGGGGAGAAATAAGAATATAAATAGCTTTTTGTGCATGCTTAGAGCATTAGTCACTTGATGTATTTAAAACATCATGTTCACTTAAATATGAGCAGTTTCTGAAGCATGGATTAAATCCAAAACGTAGGGAATGCTTTCCCAAGCTGCAAAATAAGAAACTCTCCTACATGGCAGGCTTCCTTATAAGTTCTTCTTTTATTATTTAAAAAAATTACCAAGACACAGAGACTTTGCCAATGAACGGTGCACAGATGTGACTTTTTCAAGATTGCTTTATGTGTTATTTTTGCTCTCAAAAAGGGCAAGTTCATATCTTGCAAAGTGCTCTTATTGATCCTGTAGCAAAGGTACAAACACAGTATCAACTTGGAATACTGTCTCCTTTTTTGTAGCGGTACGTACCGATTACTGGTGGACTCATATGAATACCATCTTGTTGCTGAACAGTCTTTTCCTGGCAAAGTCCATAGCTGAATTTGAAATACTGTACTTTCATATGCTAGAATGTGAAAACAATAATATTCAACCCGCAGCAGCGAACTGTCGTTCTACAAAAGCTAGCAAGACAATTCATTTTTCATTTATAAAACTGACGTGCTAAGCCAGGAGAAGACAGTATCAGTGTCTAACTTCAAACATGATGTCCTTGGTAATAGCACCAGATAGCGTGCTTGTTTTCCCCGGTCGGCCAACCCTGGCTGCTTGCAAGGCTCGCGGCTCTCCATTTTCTGTGTTCTCTTTGCAGTTTGACTTCGGCGATACTGTGGTGTACCAGGCTATCCACACCATTGAATATTGCCTGGGGTGCATTTCAAACACTGCATCCTACCTGAGGCTCTGGGCTCTCAGCTTAGCCCATGCACGTGAGTATTCCTTACGGAATTGAGATTCGGATCCGTGTGTCCGATCGCGCTGGGCAGGCGGTAGGTGAAAGGCAGGAATGCACGTAGCCTCTCGATGCTCAGCTGTCAAGCACTGCTGGAAAAGGACAGAGCTGCGTGTGTGTTCGCTGGGAGGAATTAAGTGTAAACACCAGCATCTGCTTGCATAGCGCTCTGTTAAAAGGGAGGGGTGGAGTTGAAAGCCGTGAATAAAACAAAGAGCTGCTGAGCAAGGACTCTGCCCCGCGCTGTGTGCAGCAGTTGGAGGTAACGTCCTGGCATACTTGGCTGCAAAAGCTGTTGTCCTTCTTAACTTTCTCACCTCATTGTAGTGGGATTTTGTTTGACTTTAGTTTTTGCTTTATAAGTAAACCGTAACAACCCTCCGTTCTTGCTGAATGCTCTGAAATGAGCCCTCTTCTCCCCTCTCTCCTGGCAGAGCTCTCGGAGGTGCTCTGGACCATGGTGATCCACGTTGGCCTCAGCGTGAGGAGTCTGGGTGGAGGCTTTGGCCTCTTCTTCATATTTGCTGCTTTCGCTACTCTGACAGTAGCGATTCTCCTGGTCATGGAAGGGCTGTCTGCTTTTCTCCATGCGCTCCGCTTGCACTGGTGAGTTACTGGAACATGCAGAGACTTCATAGCTCTTCATAGCAAGAAAATTGATGTCACCTGGACAATGCAGAAATACTATCTTCTAGAAAATTGTATTGACCCTTACATGGGAAACCTAAGGCTGTAAAATTGGGGTAGTGGATAACACTGAGCCAAGATCAGCAACGTTCAGAAGTGCTGGAGTACCACAGATCTACCTAAACATCTAAATGTCCTATGGCAGATGTGCTCTGACAGCAGAAAGTCTTTAAAAGGGTCAGAGATTTCAGTCTTGTTTCTAGTGATACACCACTGTCTCCCGATTGTATGCATAAATGTTGCTTAGAAATTGTGGAGAGCAACTGATCTCTGCTTAAAAATAAATTAGACTAAAGCTTTGTGAACAGTGGGATGGGAAGGTTGTGCTAGATGGATGAGCGTGCTTGTGGCTTTCAGTGGGACTTTCTTGTTCTGTCTTTTGGTCTTTTGCCTGGTTCTAATGTTTGTGTTCCTTAGTGTGCAGTAGCTACTGACTGCAGTTTCCTTCATGTGGTCTTGCTTGACTTCGTAAGACCTTGCATTGAACAGGGGCAGCTATGTCTGTCTGCCCTTTGGGGTGCTGTGGAATAGGAGCTATTTCTTGCTTATTGGCAGATGCTTTTGTAGCCCTTTTGCCATGATTATTAAGTTCCCGTGCGTGCAGACAGCCAGTAAACAAGAATGAATTACTAGAGTACTCATCGCTTTCTCTGCACCCAAGTATGGAAAGTATTCAAGAGCTTTCTCTAATCCGTATTTAAGAGCACGCATTGTTCCACTCAGATTCTCTGGTTAGTGTGCTGGTGGGATCAAAGGATCAATGTGGGAATGGGTTTTGCTTGCCTAGGGTTCTCTTCAATTTAAAGTGTAGGGAGTACGTCTGTGCGTAGGGAGTGCGTCTGTGCCTCTGTAGAGTTCAGGTCGCTGCCATCTCTTAAGGTAGCTTCTTTCCTGGTAGGTCAGGAGAACAAAGTGAAGTCCCATGAAGTTCACAAGGAATATTCTGTCTTGCTTAAATGGGAACAAATGGTTGTGAGCACTTTTTAAAACTAGTTCTGTAAGTGAAAAAGGCAGCCAGTGCCTTAAAAAAAAAAAAAAAAAAGAAAGAAAGAAAATCAGCCTTTTTGCACTTTTTCCCCTGCTTCTGGGGAAGGAAGGCTTTGTCCTTTTGCCCTCTCCGTTGGCAGCCTGCGGGGTGCAGGCTGGAGTGTCCCGAGTGCCTGGGTCTTTGTAGCTCAGGTGGGTCGAGCTTCAGCCCCTGGTTTGGAGGTGTAGCCATCTTGTGCCGAGGAGCCATGGGGGGGCTGCTGCTGCAAATGGCTGCTGGATGGTGCTTCTGTTTTTCCTGGCATCTAGCCTAGAAATCTTCATACCAGTCACTTGAGAACTTCTTGCTGACTGGCTGGTGTTTCCTCATCCTGCTGTCACTGTACTACACCATTGCATCAGTGTGAAAGGAGCTCTGCAAACCCTGCCTGGTATTATGGCTACGCGTCCGAGAAGAGCAGAGAGTATGCAGTACTCCAGCTCCATTTGCAGTGGTTATGGTCAGCAGTTGCTTGGGAATCAGTGGATTTTCAAAGTCTTGTTTCTCTGGACTGCAGTGCTGCGTGGTACACTTCTGAACAATGGCAGATGAACAGTTCTGAATGGCTTTTCTTCTTCTTGGCAGGCTCTGTGTTTTCTTTTTTACCCAAAGGGATGGGGCTGAGATAAGAAAGCATGTTTTTTCTGGAGCTACCTGTCTTGTGTTAATAATCACGAACTGTGCTTATGGATACCGCTCACAGAGCACCTGGAACGAGTGTCAGCTGGAGGCTGCAGTTCAGCCAAGAGGTGGCTTTTCACATCACCAGGCAATCTCTAAAGGGTGATGAAAAAAATTGTCTGGAAATGTGTCAAGGGAAGATGCAGGTCACTGAAATGGCAAACAAATGGAGAAACCCAGATGGGCAACAGCCATGAGCACATGGATCACTGTGCCATGCAGACCAGTGCAGGGCACTTGCTGGGGAGCTGCGGAACTGAAGCTCTTAATGAAGCCATATTTTCCCTAAACTTGTAAAACTTTAATGTATGTTCTCTAAGAGAAAAATCTCTTCAAGCTTAGAGCCTGAAAAGCAAGTGTAAGGCAATATTTCAGACTGCAAGTAATCTGCTGAAATGATTTTGGGTTTGTTGGAATTTTGTTATCACAGTGGAGAGGAAGGCACCTGCAGTTGTTCAAAAGAACAGACTGTTAACATTCCTTTTAGCTTCTGAACACAAAATCAGGATGTTTCCAATGGTAGGTGTTCCCTTTTTAGAAGGGGGTGGGGTGGGGTGTCAAATACAGCTGCCCTGGGAAGAGCAGATCGGATTTTCTGGCTGTGGGAGAAGAGTCACCTATCAGGAATTCTGAAGGTGTGGGTGGTTCAGCCTTCCTGGAAAGGAGGAGGAATTTAGCATGTGTCTTTCTGGTGGGGGAAAAAAAGCACAGATTGTTCCATGTGCTCTGCCTATCATTCCCAGATGAGGAAGATTTATTGCGTGTTTTCTCAGAAAGTATGTATTCTTTCAGCAGGCTGGGTTTTTCTGGGGCATTCTGGGGTGGAGGAAGCACTCCGAGTGCTGCCAAGACTGCAGGCATGTGTATCGGAGGTCTGCTGGAGCTCGGTAGCTGGTTGAGCTGTACCCCACACCGTGCTGTTAACTCCTTTTACCGGTCTGAAATATATTACCTTTCTATTTGCTTTTCAGTGATGTAGTTTTGACATGGATGTTTAGATTAAAGTAGCTTACGTTGTTTTTTTTTTAAACTGGTTAGCTCTTCTAATGTGAGCAAACATAGACTTTGCCCAGAAGGAGAAGTTTGTAACTGGATTCAAAGTAAGGTCTCAACATCATGCATTGATGCAGGAATACGGTTTTCGTGGAGCTGTTTTCCTGTGTGAAGAAGTGTTTTAGGTTCAGTTTTAGGCCTGATTTAGAGCCAGAAGCTAGTCTCCCTAGAATGTGTCCCAAGACCAGGCCACAGCTAGAAAGAATGGCTAGCAGTAGGCATAATACAAAGCAAATGAGGTTAATTCAGAGCGGTGTCAAGTGGGGTTTGTATTGCTCTGTAGGAGAGAGGTTGGTGCTAGGTGAGCATCGTGATGTACGAGGTTCAGTTCAAGTTTGGAGCAGTCAGACCACGTTGTTCAGGCTCGGTTCTGGTTACCCAAGCGTCTCTTGGCCAGTCTCCCACCCCTCAGTCCGTGTCCACGTGGAGAGCATGGGTCCTGGCCATACGTGACTATAGGTTTGGCAAACACAGAGAAGTCTGTCTGCTCTTGCTAAAAGTTTCGGTCTGTTCTCTCCCTCAGGCGTAGCATCTGGCCAGTGTGCGCACTTTATTCTGGCCATACTTGAGACAGACATAAACCTGATTTTTCTTTATCGTGGGTTGCCTGAGCTCTTTGCCACTGGTCCATAAACATCCCCAGAACGAACTCAGCCCCTTGGAGGCCGTGAAATGGACCCAAAGCAGTGCTCTCGGCCACGCAGCCTTAGGGGAAGCTGAAGGCAAGGAGCTCACACGACACCTGTTTTGTTCTGAATGGCAAAGTTGGAGAGTGCTGTGGGTCTGCGCAGGGATGCCGAAGTAGATTGCAAGCACAACAAACGTGGTCAACCTCAAACAACCGTGTAGAATAAATAAAAAGCGGCAATTATGCGGTGCTTCGTGGCGGCTGTTCTCGGCTGTAAACTGAGAAGGGACAGGCAGACTCTCCTCTGCCGGGGCAGAGCTCTGGCCCGCTGCCGCCCACCGGGCAGCGTTGCTTTCAGGGCGTGGGTGTGCTGGAGTTGCATCGCGGCAACGGGAGTGGTGAAGCCCAGCTCCCCAGCCGCTTGCCAGAATTTTATTTTTCTTTGTAAAGGTCGTGAGCCAGAGCTTGTCGTTAGTGTGGCCGTTAAGAGTGCGCTACTGCTCTAAAAGGCAGGCTCCTGTTAAGCACAAGACAGAATGACCCAGGGTGCGGGGTATGAAGCTGCTGTCCTTTTTGGGAACGAGTAACTGCAACAATCTCCGCACAAACACCCCAGTCGCGCTCTGACCGCAAGGTGCGCTGGGGGCTACCCCCTTGGAGGTGTGCTCTGAACACAGCTGACCCCCGGGATTGGCACACTCCTTTGAGAACACAAATACCAAGTAGGAATTTGCGCTTGTACCAAATTTAAGTTTCCTGTTCAACAACTGTCTCTGCAGTGGCTTCACACGAGGGAGCTGCTTCCCACTGTGAGCTGCTGAGTTTTTGAGACAGTGTGGGTACTCTATGGCTGTGTTGGGTTGGAAAATCCACGTAACTGCAGTCCAACGAACACTTAAGCTAATTATTAATATAAAAAAGCTGAAGAGTGGGTTTTCTTGAATGCTGACTGCCAGAAAGCTTTCTGGTCTTTTTATTTACAGGGCAATGCTAACTCTCTAGTAAATTCTTCTGCAGAACTTGATCACTGGTGGGAGAGACACAGTGCAAAGTTTAGAAATAGAGCTGGTACGCATGACAGCCAGTGATCCTGGAAACAGCAGTGTCTCAAACAAACAAACAAGAAAAAGACCTTGAATTATGGATGTTCCTGTAGGCAATTGCAGAAAAACCACACAGAACATTTAAGCCATGATTTTTGGTTAAATAAACGTTTTTCACTAGTTCCCTAACCTTATGAAAGCCTCTCCTGGAGCTTCAGGCATCCAGTTGTGGCCAGTTGTAACTGAGAGTGTCCAAAAAGAGCTTTCAGATGTCGGGGCCAGCTGGAACAGTTAATCATCAGGGTTAAAATTTCATTTACAGTGGGTTCTGTGTGACTCAGATACCCAACCCTCTGCCTCTTATTTCGCTTTGCTTACAGAATAGTTACTTAGTCACAGGATACTTATGGAGATTATGAGGGTTCCTGAAAAACTGGAGCGTGTTGGCAAGGAGCCCTTCCTCCCACGCGGAAAATCCTGCTCATCCCAGGGATTCCTCTGCAGGGACGTCTGTGTATCTGCATGAACAGGCAGCAGAAGATACGAGCAGAAAGCTGTTTTTCTGAAAGTTTCCCTCCTGAGCTCTGTTGCAAAATCAGTTTCTGCCAGCTGAAATGCAGCTTTGGAGTTTGCCATGATTCCCCATTTGAAAAGAATAATAATTCGAGTCTGCCTTTTTGTGCTTCATAAAAATACTTCTGAATTGTGTTAAATTGCTCTACAATTTGCTGTCACTTGATTCCTACAGGGACTTCGTTTTTTTTAGTGGATCACGCAATGGAAAGTGTTTCTCATGAGGCTGCTGAAACACTGTGCTTGTTTTTACTGTGAATCATGGGATTATTTTTTTTTT